TACTAGACTTTTGGAATACTCTAGGGATAAAGACTGGGTTCGTTTTAGATTAAATTAGATTACCCGAAAATTTGATTGTTATGGTAAAAACCATAAAAAAGTCATAAAATTTATGGTTCTTTTCGTTTACTGGGTTTGTAAATTTAAATAAATAATACATATATGTGGTAAAATTTTTGTAGCGAACTAAGTGAAAAAAAGTTGATCGGATCGGGCTGTATCTTGCACATAGTTTAGCCCTAGGGGTAAGTAATTTAACCACGAAGTATTGTTACGTTTTTTCAAAAACTGTCGGAGAGGGAGGGGGTTGAATTTTTTTGAAAAATTTAAACAGTGAATTTTTAAAGACTTGTAACTTTTAAACAGAAAGAAGAAAAAAATTGTCCTATATGTTTTCAAAAGGTTTTTTCCTGCTCTTTCGAATGATGCAAAAAAAATTTAAATTTTGACCCTTTTTTGAAAATTAAACATTTTTTCGAATTTTTTTTAAGTTTGGTCCTTTTTATTTTTTTTATTTATTTTTTAAAAGCTAAAAATGTGTATTATCACCACCAAAAATATTAAGTTTTCCTTTTTTGTTATTTTCAAGATATTAATTAATTAATGTTAATAAAAAATGAAATATTTCACAAATAAATAAAGTTATTGCAATCCTGAAGGTACAAATTGAAAGCTGACGTAATTCCGCATCCAACGAGACCTATATGGACTATTTTGGATTAGAGGATTTTTTATAAACAATTTCTATGTTAGCCAATTGTTTATTAACAATCCACTAACCCAAAGTACTTCATATAGGGCTCGTTGGATGCGAAATTTTGTCAACTTTCATTTAGTAATGTCAGAATTACAATACCTTTATTCATTCATTAAATATATGTATAAATTTTTATTAACATTAATTAATTAATTAACTAATATCTCGAAAATAACAAAAGAGGACATCTTAATATTTTTTGAGGTAAAAATGCACATTTTTAACTTAAAAAAAAATAAATTTAAAAAAAAGACCAAACTTAAAAAAAAGTCAAAAAAAATTTTTGATGTTCAGAAAAAAGGGTCAAATTTTAAAATTAGAAAATTTTTTGTACCTATTGAAAGAGCATAAAAAAACATTTGGAAAACATATATGTCAAAATTTTTTTTATTTACTTATATAATATTTACAATTTTTAGTTAATTAATTAAAAATTAAGGTTAATAAAAAATGATATATTTTATAAACAAATAAAGTTATCGTAATTCTGACGTTACTAAATGAATGTTGACATATGTAATTCCGCATCCAACGAGCCCTATATGAAGTACTTTGGATTAGTAAATTGTTAATAAACAATTGACTAACATGGCAATTGTTTATAAAAAATCCAAAATAGTCCATATAGGTCTCGTTGGATGCGGAATTACGTCAACTTTCAGTTGGTACCTTCAGGATTACAATAACTTTATTTATTTGTGAAATATTTCATTTTTTATTGACATTAATAAATTTTTTGTAGTGAAAATACACATTTTTATCTTTCAAAATAAATAAATAAATAAAATAAAAATCGGACAAGTGCGAGTTACACTCGCACTAAAATCGAGGGTTCTGTATTTGAAGAGAACTTAATTGGTATAAAAACAAATGTTTAAAAAATATGTGTTGTATGACAAATAATATGAGTGATACGAAGAGGAACAATTTTCTTGAATTTTACAAAATTGTTCCTCTTTGTATCACTTATTTTATTTGACATACAACATATATTTTTATAACATTTGCTTTTATACCAAATAAGTTCGCATCGAGGTCGTAAAAATTCATGGTTTTTCCTTGACAACGCTATGATAATCAATTCCAATCAGGTTCGCGATATTTTTCCTGTAATCTACACGTGAAAATACATATGTGTACAAAATTTCAGCCCTCCAGATAAATTCGTGTGGCCGCTAAGGGGGGGGGGGTACACGATTTCAAAAAAACTGATATTAATAGGTTTCCGAACCGAGTACGGAACCCTAAAAAGGACCGAAATTTAAAAAATATTCGAAAAAAAGTTTAATTTTCAACTCTCTAAATCTGAATTAGTAAAAATGTTTACTAATTTGAATTAGTGACTCACTTTTTGCTTCTGAAATAGTAAAATTTTACTAATTGTTAGTAAAAGTTACTAATAATTAGTAAAATTTTACTAATTCAGAAGCAAAAAGTGAGTCACTAATTCAAATTAGTAAACATTTTTACTAATTCAGATTTAGAGAGAAAAAAGGATCAAAATTTGTCGACAAATAATTATCAATTTTTGAATTAATTTAGATCTGAAAAAATAAGCTGCTTACTGGAGTACACTCTGCATCTCTGAGGATTCGAACCTCTTTAGTTGCTGCCTAACTCTGAACCAAGGAGTTTAAATTACATCTAATAGATGTCACTTTGCTGATAAAGTCGAATTCTTCAATTTCGTAATTTTCAAAAATCTTAATCAGCGAAAAATATAGTATTTCTATATAAAAATTTATTTAACATTTATTGATTTTGTTGTTTGACATTAAACAAATTATATCAAAGATTTTAAGAATCGATTTATCAAATAATTTTTTTCTTTTAATTAATAATTTTTTATAATTTCATAAATAATAATAGGAATGCATAATATATTTATTTTAACTTTATCTGTGAAGTATAATAAAAAATGATGTAAATAATTAAAAACTAAACAAAGAATTTAAAGGGGGCAGGTGATTCAGAAATATGCAAAGTGAAAGAGGGCGTGGCTTAATAGTCAGTTGTATGAGAATCATACTGACAGAGTGTGAAGCTCATACAATCGTAGTATGTTTGTCTTACATACGTTTGGCGTATGGACTTATTACTGAGAAACTATGAATGTCGTACTGTAATCGCATGAGAAATTTTCATACAGTATGCCTCTTCATACTGTAAAAGCATGTTTTTTCACTCCGTGTAACTGTAGTAAAACCGGTCAAATTACAAGTATATTATGCCTTAACGACCCGCGTGGAAATGAAACTATGGGTAAAATCATAAAAACCAAGTGCGAAATCGATTGCCATGGAAAAAACGATAAGACCCATGGTTTAAACTTTGGCAAAAATCTCAAAAACCATTGCTTATGTCCGTTTCTCATGGTACAATTTCCCATAGGAAATTTTTTTTAATTTAATGGATTTTTAACCATTGCTAAAATCTTGAAAACCATGGGAAAATTAATTTTTTAATTTTGCTAATTTTGGGCCATTGCTAAAAACTTGCCAACCATGGGAAAATATTTTTTAATTTTGCGGATTTTGGACAATGGATAAAAACTTGCGAACCATGGGAAACAATTTTTTAATTTTACGGATTTTGGACCATTGCATAAATCTTGCGAACCATGGGAAATTTGTTTTTTCTTTTTTACGGATTTTGGACAATGGCTAAAAACTTGCGAACCATGGTAAACAATTTTTTAATTTTACGGATTTTTGACCATTTCATAAATCTTGCGAACCATGGGAATTTTTTTTTCTTTTTTACGGATTTTGGACAATGGCTAAAAACTTCTGAACCATGAGAAAATTATTTTGTTTAATTTACGGATTTTTGACCATTGCAAAAATCATGCGAAATATGAAAAATTAATTTTAAAAAATTGCCAATGGTTCGCAAGGTTTTAACCATGCTCCAAAATCCGTAAAAAAGAAAAAAATTTCCCATGGTTCGCAAGATTTTAGCAATGGTTTAAAATCAAAAAAATTATAAAACTTTTTCCCATGGTTTTCAAGATTTTGGGAATGGTTTAAAAACCGTAAATTAAAAAAAAAATTTTCCATGGTTCGAAAGATTTTAACAATGGTAAAAAATCCGTAAATTAAGAAAAATAATTTTGCCATGGTTCGCAACATTTTAGCAATGGTCTAAAATCAGTAAAATTTAAAAAAAATAATTTTTCCATGGTTCGCAAGATTTTATCAAAATCAAAAATTTTTTTTTTTATTTCCCATCGGTTATCAAGACTTTAGCAATGGTCCAAAAACTGTAAATTTAAAAAATCAATTTTCTCATGGTTGGCAAGTTTAGCAATGGTCCAAAATCAGTAAAATTAAAAAAAAAATTTCCAAGGTTTCCAAGATTTCAGCAATGGTTAAAAATCCGTAAAATTAAAAAAAAATTTACCATGGAAAATTGTAGGGGAATAGTGTCAGGGTTGGACACAGTTTTGGTTTTTTGTTTATAAATATTTTGTTTAGATAAATTCAGTCAATTGTGGTATATGGGTGGAAAGATCTACAAAAGAGGAACACTTTTGCTGTTGACCGTAAATTGATTGGTCCAAAATTAAAAAAGTTATAAACATTTAAAAAAAAATCAAGTCAGGGTTGGACTTTTCAGTCAGGGTTGGACACTTTTTGAAAATCGAAACGCATTATTGGTAAAAACGTAAAATAACATTTGTAATGTTTTTTATTCTTATTTTTTCATGTTTATCTTTACTTATTGTTTACAAATTTTAAAGCTTCATCGGATTGCACCGAAGTCACAGGAGACGCTACTTTTGATTCTCCAAAAATGTAATGCCACATAAAGTTAGGTTACACTACTAGAAGATTCGTCACGTACGCACACAGGTGGCGCTAGTGTTCTTATTTAAAAAAAGCCAAGTGTCCAACCCTGACAAGTGTCCAACCCTGACACTATTCCCCTACCATGGGAAACGGACATGAGCAATGATTTTTAAGATTTTTGCCAAGGTTTAAACCATGGGTCTAATCGTATTTACCTTGGCAATCGATTTCGCTCATGGTTTTTATAATTTTACCCATGGTTCCATTTCCATGCGGGGATGAGAAAAAGTGAGGTTTAACATTAAAAAACAAATTTTTTTTAAAAGTGATCTTGAAATTATACAGTTATGTGCAAATCACCCAATAGTGACACTTAAGGATTTCTTAGTCAGATTTAAATTATACTTGCTAGGTGGAAATCAGATATAAACTTTCTCTTTAATATTTCTTACCCGTTTCACAATCAGATCCTTTCCATCCTTGTATACAAATTTTGTCTCCATTTGCATCGCACATATAATGTCCAAAGATGTCGTTCCGGGGTCGACAAAACTTGGTACAAGTTGCATTATAATAGTGGTCTGCACACTGGACCCTCACTTGATATGCTAGGTTTGCATTTTTTCCATGATGATTAAGGGTGTGCCATTTTGGCCCTGGTAAAACAATTCCACTATAAGTCGCTTCTTCGATGACTCCTTCACTTCTTTCGTCTTTTGCTTGTAAAATTAGAGTAAACTGTCTCTGAAAAAAAAATTCATAATTATAACACTCATACTTATTGTCAGCAAAAGAATTTTCTCAATATATTTAAAAAATTATAAAGTTGTGGATGAAAATTTTTTTAAATTAAAATAATATTTATTGAATTAATTCATTTATACTTTCAGGTTAATAAATGTTGTCGATGTATATAATAGTTAAGAAATATAGCATATCAAGATATTTAGTATAGTTTTTCTGCTTAAAATGACAAGTGTTGAACGATCCTCTGCCGTCTATGAGTAAAAGAAATAGCTAATTGTAAGTTTTAGTAAATTTTATTTTTACATAGATAGCCAACAGAGTTATCATGTATGTTTGAAAAAAACTATTTTATTCTAATTATAATTATTTTATCACTCTTCTTTCATTTATGTAATACTTATTCGTAATATCACTATTTATTAATTACACATAGGCACGAGCTTAGATCTTCTGGCGACCTTGTACAATAAAAATAAATTGCACCTTTTAAACACAATACAGTAAGGTTACTGCATGCTTATTCGAATGGCTTGTAACATTACATCGTAAATATACAGTAGACTTAAGTGTAGGTCCTGGTAAGGCAGCACCATCTATATCTGAACTCAAATTTTCCACAGTATTTACTTAAAAACAAGAAAAAAATGCTTTTTCCTTTAGGATAATTGATTATTGTCAAGAAATACGCAGTTAAACCTTTTTTGAGTTAAAATAATGAAAAAATTAATGACGATAAATTAAATATGAGCATATTTTTAACGAAAACTTTAATGATATTTTCTCGAAAATAACAAAAAAGGAATGCATTTTTCATTTGGATAATTAATAAACAATAAAAAAACACCAGCTAAGATTCACTAATAACAAAAATAACAACAAAAATTTTTTTTTAACATAACATTTCGCACTATGTTACTGATTTTGACAGCCATTTGGCAAGTGAAATATTTTTTTTGACAGCAACACCACCAATCTCCTCCCATTGGCAGAATCGCAAAACGTCTTATGACGATTTTTTATTACGATTTTATTTTTTCAGTTATTCAAAACCAACAGAAAAAATATTAAATGAATATATTTAGTAAAAATTTGATTTTTTTAAATTACTTACTGTTTGCTGACAATAATTTTATTTTAACTAGCGATATATTCCTCGCTCGCTCGGTTGAAGTTTTACATTTTTTTTCTTTACGTATTGTAGTTTATTCATATGTATATTTATTTTTTGTTTTAAATTATTATTTCATTATAAATTATAATAATTCAATTTTTAAAATTTTCCAATTACTTTTTTAAAAAAATTTAATTTAATATACCAAAACAAATTTTATATGTCTGTTGACTTAAATTCTGATTTTATTCTATAATATTTATTGTAAATTGTTTCTCTTTTTTCAATTGCTACTAAATGCTATGCAAGGAAAACTGGTGAGGGCCTTACCACTTTTCCTAACGAATACCCTACTTTTTAATATTATATAGTTTTCAAATTTGTAAATCTTTGTGTATATTCTAAAGTTGATAAACCAATTACCATCCCTGCAATAAGTAGACATGTAGATCCAATGCAATATCCTTTAATATATCCTGCAGGAGGAAGTGGTTGGATGCCGAAATTGTTATCAAAAGATCAAAGAAACAATATAACAGCGTTACAGTTTTACTCATTTACACTTAGTGTTACAGATGAGTTTAGACCATTTCTTAATTTAGGTAAATTAAGCCAACAATTTATTGTTGATGCTTTTGTAAAAATTGAAGGTGCAAGATTATATTTCATAAAGAAACAACAGCATATTTGGAGAACTGAATTATACTCTGGATTAATGGATTATTTACAGAAGAGAAAAGAAGAGAAGAAAAATGTTCAAATTGGTAATATGTTTATATTGACATCTAGTTTTACTGGTAGTCCTAGAGCATTACAACAAAATTTTAGTGATGCAATTTGTTTAGTTCAAAAATATGGTAAACCTGATTTGTTTATAATAGTAGGGGAGCCCAATATGTTTTTTAGGATTAACTCGAACGCGGCAGATAAACACAGGGAGAGGTACCTTGCATGTTGTTGAGTACCTCTTCCAAGTATTAACTCTTTTTATCAAGACGTGCGTCTAGGACAGCTCATCAGATTAGTAAAAAAATCGATCGTCGGAAATATCGAAGCGCGTCAGATTAAAGGAAGGTGGGTTAATTACTGACTAAAAAGTGTACATTTAAAAACTCTGACAATTTGAGCGTAACGTAAGGGAGTGGGAGGGTTGTAAATTTGCAAAAAAAACGTTGTCTTGACATTCCCGAGCGCGGTTTAATTTTGTTAATTTGAAGGAAATAACATAAGAATCACGAATAAAATATAATCTGACGATTTCCAGAAGCCGAAGTAATGAAAATCGTCTATGGAGATTAGCGCGCGCATCTCTAGTACAACACGCATTCCCCATTCCGTGGCTCATCTTCCCTTTCAACTTTTTTCCTATTTCTAACTCTCTCGCACCATCTCGATTTCTGACACTGCTCTCCGTCACCATGACACCATTACAGCTGATCACAAAACATCTGGCAGATTAACAATATTCCTTAAAATAATCGTCAGATTTAGGGTTATCATGACTGCAGCATCCAGATGAACCATCTGTTTAAAAATCTGACACGCTCGAGTATTTCAAGATAGCGATTTTTTTTGCATTTTAAAAAATTCGCTACGAGCTTGCGTCACTTCCGAAACGTCAGTCTTTTGAATAGGAGCATTTTTAAGGTTAATTTAACATCTTCCCTAAATATCTGACGCGCTCGAAAAAAAAATTTTTTTTCTACTTTGTATCCATCCGGAGAGCCAACAGAACCAGGCAAACCGTCAGATGAACATACATATATATTCCATGTAATTGTTTTTTTTGCATTTTAAAAAATTTATAGACGCTCCCTCCACCACTAAAAGGGAAAACTTTATAGAACTTTTTATTTTCCTAATCATCTAAACTACAAAATATCTTCATCCCATCGACGCTCGAGTAAATCCCCATTTAACATCGTGGGCTCCCCTACTATAACTATGACATGTAATCCTAAATGGAAAGTAATTACTGATAATATTGAAAAAAATGAAGATGTAATAAATAGGCCAGATATAGTTGCAAGAGTATTTAGACAGAAAGTAAAAGAATTACTTCATGAAATTACTGTGAAAGAAATATTTGGTACTTGTATTGCTTACACATATGTAATAGAATTTCAGAAGAGAGGATTACCGCATATTCACTTATTACTATATTTACATAAAGATGACAAAATAAGAACAGCAGACGATGTCGACAACTTTATTTCAGCAGAAATACCTGATGAAATAACTAATCCACGTTTATTTAATTTAGTAAAGCAATTTATGATTCATGGACCATGTGGCAAACAGAACTTAACTTCTCCTCGTATGAACATAAATACAAACATGTGCACTAAAAATTATCCTAAACAATTTAATGATAATACAGAATTTAATAATACAGGATATCCTATCTTGTGAAATACAATATCCAACAGCAATATGCGAAATTTTTGCCTGCATATGTGTATATCATAATCCAATTAATGCCCGCGAATTTACGATAAATATAAAATGCATTTTTATTTTCCTAAAATGCAACCTGAACAAGGAGAAATATGGGCTCTACAAATAATCAATAACATTTTAACTATAAATACTTTTTCTCTACAAGGTTTCAATTTACCAACATTAGATAATGAAATACATTTTTAAGAGTCTTTTTCAAATTGTAACTTACATTCATCCTATTAATAGAGCGAAAATAAGTGAAAACAGCCAATTTCAAAATTTTTGTCTCCGATTTTGAAGTTATTTACATTTTTTAATAGGTATATGCATATACTTTTACCCCCTAAAATATTTTTCAAAAATATTATATATTTTGGAAATGAGGGGGGGGGGGTGAAAGTTTTGGGTAATGAAATTTTCTTTTTGCTATTACTCGGAAACGAATGAAGATAATTGAGTGAACTTTGTTTTAAATTAAAGCTTAAAGTCTATATTTTCATGTCTAATCAAAGCGCTTGTTGTAAAATTAAAACTTTCAATTGTTATTAACAATTTTTTTAAACAATTGCAATTTAGAATGTGTTCTCAATGTCAGACAAAAATAAGACTAGGCTGATTTGATGCGCAAAACTCTAACGAATAAATTAAAAAAAAGAAAAATGAGTAACCTCCAATATTTAAAAAGTTATGAATATTTTTCTAATGCCGCGCAGGCAGCGGCGAACTCGCTGACGCGCGAGATTAGCTCACCGCTCGCACTTCCAAATAATTGACTATTTTTATAAGTATACGTATACGTTTCTTATCGAGAGTTTCAAAAAATGTATATAAAAATGTAAGAATAAATGTGAAAAGTTTTTAATTTTGCAATTTAAAAATGCCTCGTGCAAATACTTGTTGTAATCCGTTCGATTTTGAAAAACATCTTTCTAAACCTGGTGTTTGTAAAGTGACAAAGAATTTGGATTCAAGATTTCGAGTTCTTCAAAGACATTTTGTTAGCAAGTCGTGTTAAACTTTAATTTATCCAAGGAAAGAAAAAATTAAATTTGTTATACCCGAATTGAAACCAAATAATCAGGAACATGAATTCTTATATATGTATACATTTTTCGAAACTCTCAATAACAAACGTATACAACTTTAGCAGGCTATAAATCGAATTAATAAAAACAAAAGACTAAAGCTTCATTTTTTGTTACCAACTTCATACATATCTGTCAAGCTTGTCAAGACAATATCTATATGATTTCCATTGACTATTTCCCAAGATTTGAAAATTCTTCAATTTATATAAATTAAATATATAAATTAAATATATAAATTAAATATATAATATATAAATTATAAATTAAACAACAAGCGCTTTGATTAGACATGAAAATATAGACTTTAAGCTTTAATTTAAAACAAAGTTCACTCAATTATCTTTATTCGTTTCCTA